AAAACTCAGTTCGCGCGCGTGCAAAACGCTCTTTTGCGCGCTCAAAATATGATCTTTCGCGCGCAGAATTGCGGCAGAGATGTAATCCCATAAGCCTGCCCCTTTCTTCCGAGCTGCTCTCAGAGAGACTGTTTACTTTATTCATCGTGAAACTTGCTAATTAGCACATTATTAGGAAAGGTAATTTGCAAAGATTCATTACAAAACATTATACTCACTTCTTCTGTAGGTGAAGCTGGATCACGAATGATTCGCGCGAACATAGACGCATACATGTAGATTGGGGGCGCATTCCCTCCAGAAACAAATGTAATCCACTGCGAGTTCAGCGGCTCAGATGTCGGTGGTTGTGTAAACACACATTTCAGTTCAAACAACTTGTAAAAGCGCATGTAGCATCTTATGACCCCTTTAAAAAAAAAAAGAAATATCATAGAATATTTTTAATGAGATGCATTACTTCTAAAAGTTCCTGAACATCTTTTTTTTTAAGCATTACAGTGGCATGCGAAAGTTTAGGAACCCGCAGAATCTGTGAAAATGTGAATAATTTTAATAAAATAAGAGTGATCATACAACATGCATGCTATTTTTGATTTAGTACTGTCCTGAGTAAGATACTTTACATAAAAGATGTTTACATATAGTCCACAAGACTAAAAAATAGCTGAAATCATTAAAATAACCCCCTTCAAAAGTTTGGGAACCCTTGGTTCTTAATGTGTGTGGTTACCTGGATGATCTACGACTGTTTTTTTTTGTTTTGTGCTGGTTGTTCATGAGTCCCTTGTTTGTTCTGAACCGTTAAACTGAGCACTGTTCTTCAGAAAAATCCTCCAGGTCCTGCAGATTCTTCAGTTTTCCAGCATCTTTTGCATATTTGAACCCATTCCAGCAGTGACTATATGATTTTGAGATCCATCTTTTCACACTGAGGACAATTGAGGGACTCAAACACAACTATTAAAAAAGGTTCAAACATTCACTGATACTCCAGAAGGAAATACGATGCATTAAGAACTTTTGAACAGGATGAAGATGTCCAAATTTTTCTTATTTTGTTGAAATACCTTTTTTTCCCATTTAGTAGTGCCCTTCGGAAGCAACAGAAAATACTTGCATGTTTCCCAGAAGACAAATTAAGTACAATTTAGTACCTTGATCTTCAAATTCAAAAAGTTTTAATTGCTCTTAATGCATCCTAAACTTTCGCATGCCACTGTATGTATTAAAACCAAGAATAATTTCTTTTTTACTGCCTTGACTTTGGATCAGGACATTGAGG